TCCTGGATAATCCCCTCCCCCCCAGATAACAACCCCCTCCTGGATAACAGCCCCCTCATAAATAACAGCCTCCCCCAGATAACAACCCCCAGTAACACACCCCCACCCCAGGTCGCCTCAGAGACCAGGCCGGGGCAGGGCTCGCCGCGCGTGAGCGGGTTCGGATCCCCTGGGGTTCGGCCCCTAACCGCTGGCCTTGTTTTGCACGTGAAGCAGGCGCCCTCCCGAAGCCCTCGGCCACCTCGACCGACAGGCAGCGGAGCACCGAGGTCTCGGCCCTTGACAGTGAGTATGGCGGAGCCCGGCGCTCGCAGACCCTCGCGTGCAGCCCTGGGGCAGGACAGGCGTGGGAGAGCTCATCTGCCAGCCATGGGGGGGTCTTTGGTCCCACAAAGGCAGCTGGAAGAAAAGCCTTTTACTGCCGCCAGTCTGTCCCATAACGTGGCAAGGCCGAGTCCAAAGCTAGACCTTGCTGATGACTCGTGTCAGCAGTGAGAGGTCGCTGCAGCTCCACGCAGTGGAATTGGAGATTACACACTCATGTGCTTTCCTAACTAAACTATAACATGCTTGTTGAAAACACATTAAGATTTTCAAGTGGAGTTCTTCAAGGGTAGGAAATACAAGGATGAACCTCAGCATGTCCCCTGCGGTATGATATCGCGTGCAATTATGCCATTAATACAAGATCTCTGCCTCCCACCGTGCCCTGATGGGCTGTGCCCCTCCATGGGTAGCCATCCAGGCTGTGTTTTATCCTCTCTGTTCAGCTGTTGGTCCCTGCCCACTGGTCAAACCTGGCTCTCCAGCCTCTTTGCTTGCAAGGGAATAATTCCATTTTTGCAGGACTCAGGTTTTACCAAGGATAGGAGGAAACAGTTCAGATAAGGCGCATTAGGCTGACATGAGTGCTTGGCCACCTTTGAAGCTCTCAGCTTTAAGACAGTCTAGTTCCTACCCGTGTACTGAGAAGATGTGCCCTGACTTTCCCCTCTCTCTGGAACAGGCTTCCCCCTGCGGCACTCGAACACGCTGACGAACAGGCAGCGGGGCAACGAGGTCTCGGCCCTTCCCGCCACACTGGACAGTGAGTTATCGCGGGCTTCACGTCTCCAACCACAGGCACATGGGGTGGAAGCAGTTGGGGAGAGTGGGACTGGAGCCTCCCCCCCATCTCCTGACACCCTGGCATTTCGCAGCTCCCACAGGACGGGACGGTCTCTTGCCATGGCTGGCTGGTTCCTCCAGTGAATGGTGGAGGGGTGCTAGTTACCCACTGGGCTTTTGGGGTCTCGGCCTGGGGCTCTGCATTTACCTCTGCCCCGGACTCGGAGAGACTTGCAGGTGCCCTGAGTCCTACCGGGTGCAGGGAAAGTCTGACCGTGGCGGGATGGAGCAGGGAGGCTGCCCACAGACGCTTTGTCCTGATGGTTTAATTCCTTCCATCCCCCAGCGTTGTCCATTCACCAATTAGCTGCCCAAGGTGAGCTCAGCCAGCTGAAGGAGCATCTTCGGAAAGGTACGTGTCTCCTTCGGCCTTGCCTAGGCTTTTTCCGGTGTTCAAGAAGTTTTGCTCTTGGGCTACCCTGAGTCTCCCCATGCAGGCAACCATGGTGCACATGTTGTCTCTGCTGCAGCAAAAGAGGATGTGGAAAAGCAGCAATGGGTTGGGTTTTCACCCCAGAACATGTAGAGTCCTGCCATAATGCAGTCTTTGATAAACCCTTGGTTTAGTCTTACAGCCTTTGCTGGGTTTCCCTGGGGGGGGGGATAAGGAGCAGAGGGGTCTTTGCTCTACCTATGTAAGATGCTTCGCCTGTGTTTGTGCAGGCGAGAACTTGGTAAATAAACCTGATGAGAGAGGCTTCACCCCCCTGATCTGGGCTGCTGCCTTTGGAGAGATTGAAACAGTCCGTCACCTGCTGGAATGGGTAAGGGCACGTGCTAGCGCAGCATTGGGTTAACAGGAGACTTCCCAGCCCCCAGCTCCTGCCCAAGAAGCCCAGTAATGTCCTGGCACCATCTCAGCTGACCTCTTCCCATGGCACTGAACAGGAGGATGCATTTGCAGAGCTAATGGCTCAGACAGTCGCTGTCAGATGCAACTCCCCTTTGGGCCTTGGACTAAGTCAGGAGCGTGAAGAGCTTTATCTCATAGCTAGCAATAACTGTTTGTAATTAAATATCTGCTTATTGGTAATTTGAGTTCAGGCTTATCACTTGGGCCCTGTAATCTGCCAGCAAATGTGTTTGCTGAGGTCTTGTTGCAGTTAACGAACTCACTGCTGCATCGTCCTCGAGTGCTAGGCTTGAAGCCGGAGGCTGTCCCAGGGCCAGGCAGGAACCAGATCCCCTGCGCATCCTCGATCCAGCCGCTTCCCAAAGCTCAGTCCCATGTCCATCCACGTGTCTGCGGATCAGCGAGCGCTCAGGCCACATAAGCTCTGGCCAAACACTGACTCCACTGCTGCGTTAGCAGCAAGACTGCAATTCATCACCAAAGCGACAGATAGAAACCAAAATAAATGAGGTGATACATTGATAAAGGGTATAACAAAGTCCAGGAGAGGGCCGTGGCTAGCAGGGCTCAGAGAGCAGGGTGGGTTTTCTAAGTAAATCAGTAACAGAAAGACCTGGCCATTGCAGAAGCCTCTAATTAGACAGGGCTGCTAATGCTGTTACTGGTGAAGGGGAAAGGGGCTCCGTAACAGGAACCATCAGGCTTAATTCACTGACACTGGAGAAAGGCTCTTAAGTCTTCACCTGAGATGTCTGATGATTAAAACGTACCTTGTAAAGACAGTAGTAGGGAAGGTGCCTGCGCAGGAGAGGTCAGTGGGGCTGCGTGAGCTGTCTCCTCCCCACTGAGCTCTGTGGATGGGGTGAAGCTCACAACAGTGCTGGCAGTGGAAGAGCACTGCCTGGACATGGAGCATCACAGGCTGCAAGGCCGGCCAGGCCCAGCTCTGTGATCAGCGCTCCTGGGGCTACCAGGAAGACAGGTCCTGCGCTGAGCACCCCCTGTCTCAGCAGAGCTCCTTCACCCTTCGGGGGCTAACGCCTGTGCCATCCCCAGGGCGCTGACCCCAACGCGCTGGCGAAGGAGCGGGAGAGCGCCCTGTCCCTGGCCAGCATGGGTGGCTACACGGACATTGTCATCATGCTGCTGGAAAGGAACGTGGACATCAACATCTACGACTGGGTGAGTGCCACTGGGCCCAGGCTGCCACAGGGACCGTGCCAGTGCTGGGAGTGTCACCGAGCCCTGCATGGAGCTCTGCAGAGCTCATTTTAAAAAACAGCAATGAGTTCACATCGCTGCTACTCTGTCTCCCACTCTGGGACAAGTTAGTGCCAATGCCTCTCTCCTAGCTGCTGCCCAGGCTTGCAGTGCACATTTGCATGCTCACGTGGTTATTTAAAGAAATTAATCTGGATAATAATTTTAAATAGTTTCCTCAGTTGCTCCTGATGGTGATTTTACCAGGTGCAAGGAAACTGCTCAGAATTCAGGTTATCCTTAAAGTAATACAAAGTTATTGTATTACATACAGAGAACCAAGGAATAAAACGTGCACAGAGCCGCTCTGTGAGAAAACACCCGGCCTGGAGCTGAGAGAGGGGGGGAAAAGGGGAGCCAGCAGCTCTGGGACCTACCGCTCTGGGAGAAACAGGGCCAGCCTGGCTGAGGCTGCACAGCAGGGTCCTCAGTCCTGAGCAGCATGGCAGCACGACACAGCACGGGACAGGATAGCAGTGAGGGCTGGCTGAGCTGAGTTCAATGGATACGTGGCTCCTGCACATGTGCCCTGCAAATTCGAGGGCTGGGTGAGCATGGCCCCACGAGGCCAGCACTGACGGCACCTTCCCTTTCCCTGCAGAACGGCGGCACCCCTCTGCTCTATGCCGTGCGCGGCAACCACGTGAAGTGTGTCGAGGCCCTACTAGGTAATGGGGAAGATCCGTGCTTAGTCCTTCACCTTGAATCGCTGCTTGTCGGTAACCACCTTGGGGAGAGAGCGTGACCTGCCTGGGGGGAGAAATCAAGCAATCTGGGGATGTCACGGGGTGGGGTGCCCACCCAGGACAGGCACCGGCCCCCTTCGGGGGTCCTCTTGCCTTGCTGTGTGCCTACCACGTCGGCAGGGGAGCCCTGATCTCCACTGCCTGCTTGCAGCTCGCGGTGCCGACCTGACAACAGAGGCGGATTCTGGCTACACCCCCATGGATCTGGCCGTGGCCCTGGGACACAAGAAAGGCAAGTGTCTGCTGCATGCCTGGCAAGGAGCCTGGTTTTCCCTCCCTGGAAAAGGCTCCAGGCAATTCCCAGCTCCCAGCCCTGCCTGGGGCTTTCCCTGACCTTCCACCACAGCTCCCTGCTCTGCCACACAGAGAAACAGCAATCAGCGTGCATCCTGTTCCCCCTCCCAAACCAGAGGTACACTGCAGATGGGGCTGGGGTAGGGGAGCTGGGGACAGGCCCCTGGAGAAAGCAGTTCCCCTGCCTCCCACTGGAAAACAGGAGCAAAACAGTGACCAACCAGGGGATGTCCTGCCTGCAGTAGTACTGGCTTCTTTAAGGCTTGGCTTCCCTGGGTTTCATTTCTCTCCTTTCTCTTCCTTGCCATAGTCCAACAGGTTATCGAAAATCACATCCTCAAGCTATTTCAGAACAAGGAGCTGGAGTGACGCAGTTTGCGCTGCATCGCTGCAACGCCAGCGCTTCTGTTGGCCTATGCAAAAGCTCTCCTCTATGACCAAAGGGGCCTGACCCACCACTCCCAAAAGGGGCAGCCGAGTGATGCTTCTAGCAAGGAGCGTGTGGAGGAAGCAGGGAACCGCCTGCCTGGGCAGATTTACACCTCTCCTAGAGGGCAGCACGGCCTCAGCGCCTCGCACCCAGAGGCACGAGTTCCTCAGGGCAGCTGCGCTTCTGCTCCATCCAGGCTCAGCTGCTTTGTGCACGCAGGTATTCAGGTATTGCATTTTTGGAAGTAAACTCTAAAGCAGCCATGTGGAGCCCTGTCTATTGCCTTGGTGGCGTCACAGCAGCTGGTCCCTGATCCCAGCACCAGCTACCAGAGAACGAGTGAAACTGGGCCAACCAACCTCTTCAAGGGCTAGGCCCTCCTGGTGCCCAGTGTTCCTCTCCAGAGCTGTCTCTTTGAAGAGCAAGGCTCCATCTTTTGCCCACGAGCTTGCCAAGCTCTCCCTGCACGCAGCCCTGCTAGTGAGCTGCGGAAAAATCCATAGGCAAGAGCTAAACCAGGGAAGCATCGCCCTGCCAGCCACAAACAAAGCTGCAACCCAAGGCTGAGCCCTGTCAAGCTGGCAAACAGCTGCTCCAAGAAGGGATTTGGGGGTTATTAGAGTAGGCGAGAGACAGCCAGAGCCCTGCAGCACACGGCAGGAAGCAGTTTCTCCTCCTTTTCCCTGCTCCAGCCACACAATTGCATCGTGAAGCAGCAGAACCAAGCCAGGGCTGGGCATGGAGGGCACCAATCCACAGGTACCACTTGCCCAAGAAGCAGTCAGGAGGGCACGGGGGGCCACAACCATTTATTCAGCCAGTTATATGGGCTCTATCCCACAGGAGAGGCCCCAGGCTGGCTTGCAAGTCCAGGCACACGGGTTTCTGCACTAGCGTCCCTCTGCCACAGCTAGCTGGCCATCCTGCAGGGCAGCAGGGTCCCCCCTCTACCAGCACCTTGGGGCACACACAGGGCCAGCATGTTCCTGCTGGCAGGACTTGCTGTCCCACACCCCTTTCACATGGCAGAGCCCCCAGAAACAGCTGGCCATGGGGACGCCAGTCATCAGGGAGCGACCCACCCCGTGGTCCCTCACTGCTGCCCTAGAGCCTCTCCCCCAGCACCCTGAGGTGGTACACCACGATCCTCCCGAAGAAGTCGGTGCTGTTCTCAAAGGTGATCCTCAGCTTATCCAGAGCCGTCTCTTCCACCTGGAAGCTGTGCAGAGCGCGTCAAGGAGGAAACAGGCAGAGGGACGCAGTGACATGCGAGGCAGCTGCAGGACAAACTCCAAACCGCGACTCAGGTGCCAGACCCCCTCCCTCTGCGGGTGGCTTTGAGCCCCTCTGCCAAGCCGTTCGACCCAGCTCGCAGTGAACCAAAGGATATCTGCAGGGCGTTGACATCCTCGGGGTATAAGTCAGATATTTTCACCAGTTCCTCGCCCGTTCTGCAGCCTGAGGAGGGCAAGGGTGGAAGGAGCCGTGCGGTGGGCTCACGTGCCGGGGGAGCCTCTGCTGGCTGCCACGGCCACGTTGGGGCTCAGCTGCTCTGTCTCAGCCACCCTGACGAGCCTCCCCACATGGGCTTTGCTGCAGGGAGCCGGGTGGGAGCAGCACCAGCACCCGCTCACTTGCCTCCTGTCTCCCTTCACCTGGCTCTTGGGTGCACCGTGGGAGCAAAATGACCTGTCCTAACACAAGGATCTGCTGGATCCAGCCTAGGACCTGATGCAGGCCCCGTTGTCTAGCCCAGCACCTGCATCCTGAATTTGGGGCTGCAGAAACCCACAGGTGTTGTAGTGGGTTTGTTATCTAATGGATTGGGATTAGCAGATGGCAAGGCATTTTCTAGCCTGCAAACGAGGGGTCCTGGAGGACCACAGGGCCTGCACTATTGACCCCTTTCTGCTCCAGCCTCAGCCCCCCCGCCAGAGCTTCAGGAACAGTTCCCAAAGACCTCTGGGCTCTGCAGTAAAAAGTTGCGGGATCCCAGTGTGGGTGAAGAGAGGGAAAGGCACCGCACATCCCCAGGCAGCTCCTCACCTTCCAGCGTGCACAGCCGGCTGGAGAATCCCCCCTGGAACTGGATGTGGAGCCGCGAGACCTTGACGGTGCGGGGGAACTCCAGGGTGACCCACTGGGACGTGCCCTAAAGGCAGGAACGACACCGGGGCTCAGTCACCAGGTCCCCGCAGGGCTGGGAGCCCACAGCTCCCTTGGCACAGCCCAGCCTGGGGCGTAACGCCCGCACGGCCATGAGTGCGGGGCACCCTCCAGCTTGCCCCGTCCTCGTCGCCCAACCTGGTCCGAGTTCCAGCACGTCTCCTCGCTCGCGTCGAACATGTGCTTCTTCCCGAACTGCTTCACGTCCCGGTTGAGCACGGAGCTCACCCTGCAGGGACAGGCGCCGCCGGCCCGGGGACGCGACG